CATCCGTTGCTCGACATGCCATGAATGCTTGCGACCACTCTGTGCCATAATTTCTCATTTTCTTTTGGAAACCTCCAAAGCCATTTGCTAAGCAAAGCCTAATTCTTGAGTCTAACATTCCCGATTCCCAAACCCCCTTCCTCTTTAAATTTCCTCACCTTTTCCCGTCTAACCAAATGATCCTGCTTCTTTTCCCCAGGCTCCCAAAGAAAATCCCTCATGATTTTTTCAATTTTCCTCACTATCCCTTGTGGATTTAATTAGGGTTATTCCCCCCCCCCAATGAGATATAGTTCCTTTTCCATGTTGCCAACCGTTTCTCAATCCTTTCCACTACCAGAGACCAAAAGCTAGAAAATCTAGGGTTATCTCCAAGGGGTAAACCCAAATATTTCATTGGCCACTCACCTTTCTCGCAACCTAGGGAATTTGCTAGATCTCTCACTTGATCCTCTTCAATATTAATTCCAACCAATGAACTCTTTGATCAATTAATCCTCAAATTAGACATCCTCTCAAAGAGTTTCACAACCAACCTCAGATTTTCCACTCCCTCCCTGTTTTCTCCATCACAAAAGATAAGAATATCGTCTGCAAACTGTAAATGAGTTGTGACTAGCACATTATCCCTCCCAACTGACCATCCCCTAAATAATTGCACACCATTTCCTTTTGAAATCAATTTGCTTGGGGCTTCAGCAATCAGAGTAACTAGAAAATGAGAAAGAGGGTCACCCTGCCTAAGTCCACAGAATCCTTCAAAGAAATCATACATTGACCCATTAACTATTACAGAAAAGTGACTAGTTTGTAGGCATCCCATGATCCATTTACACCACAAATTTCCAAATCCACATTTCCTCATAATTTCAATCAAGAAGTTCCAATCCACTAAGTCATAGGCTTTTTCTAGATCCAGTTTAATAGCCACTCCCTTTCTCTTTAATCTCTTTTGAGCTTCCACGCATTCATTGGCAATTAAGATCTGATCAATAACCTGCCTATCCTGCACAAAGGCCCCTTGAGCTTGAGAAACGATTGGGGAGATCACCTTTCTAATCCTCAAAGACAACACCTTTGCAATCACCTTATAAATACTAGTGACTAGACTTATTGGCCTGAAATCCCCTGGTTGGTTGGCATTATTCTTCTTTGGGATTAGAGCTAAAAAAGTAGAATTCATTCTCGGACTTCATTAATACAATATTAAGTACAACTATCAACCCCTAAACAAGTATTGAGTCCCTAGTAATGTTTATTACAAAACTGCCCAAAACATTCTCTCCCTCTTAGTGCCTTGTTTAGCCAATGTATCAGCTAAGCCATTGGCTAATCTCCTTGTCCATTTGAAGAAAGCACCAATCTCCCTTGTTATATTGAGGATTTCCCTTATGGGTTGTCTATAAATCCAAGCTCCTAGCATACCTGATTGCAGCTAATCAATTAACAATTTAGAGTCTCCCTCTATCTCAACTTGGTGTAACCCCAATTGTTTGGCATATCTTACACCTTGAAGCAAGGCCATCACCTTCGTTCTCAATGAGTCCCCCACTCCTATTGACCATCAAAGTTCAGATTCATTCTTTGTTGTGTTGGTGGGGACTACAACTCCTACATAATAGGTTTTATGGAGGTTGTAGTTGCCACCACTCCCCAATTCCTGTAAATGTCTTCAGCAGAGAAGTCTTTAAATAAATTCGAAGTTTTCAATCATTGAATAATAATGGTTATTCTTTCTACAGTTTCCTCCTTGGATTTCTCTACTCCTTTGAAGATCCTATTCTTTCTTTCTTCCTAAACCGACCATAGGATAACTGCTCTTGTGGCCCTCCACATTACTCTTTTGTGCCTCTTTAGTTGCCTAAAAAAGCTTGGGTCAAAAAGGCTTACCACGTCCAGGGGAGGTGTCCACCTGCAACCAAAGATGGAAGAGAACCATGTCCAAAGAAAGCACACAAATGAACAAGAAATTAATAGGTGTGTGATCGTCTCACCAGAACACAAGCAAAGGCTACAAACATGAGGTGACAAGCAAAAACTTGGCCTTTTTCTTTGCAACATATCTAGAGTATTGATTTTTTGGAGAACCACCTCCCAACAAAAAGCTCGAATTTTTGGAGGTATAGGTCAACACCAAACCTCTTTTGAAGGAAAATTTCTTGCAAGGTTTGTTGATTGAATGAGGACATCAAAGGAGGAACAAGTGAACACACAAGATGGAAAAGTTTTCCAAATTCTACTGTCCAAACAAGATTGATCCAGATAGGATGACCCTAAAAGGTTAACTAATTCATCCACCAGTGTCATTTCCAACTCCCTTAGACCTCTCCTAAGACCCAGGTCCCAAGAATTATCAATAAAAACTAAAGAGATCACTCTCCTTTTTTGTTTTCTAACAATGAATAAATAGTAGGGAACCTATCACTAAGGGGACTCTCTCCAACCTAAACATCTTCCCAAAACAACACTTTGTTTCCTACACAAGCATCAAATTTAACATAAGGAAGGCAATATACCATGAATAGCTTTCCAGGGAGAGCGTCAAGAAGCCCTAGGGTCGACTCCTGCATCCCAAAGTTTATCATGTTCCAACGGCAATCTCCATAACCATTTCCCCAATAAAGTTGTGTTTCTTACTATGATATTTCCTATTCCTAGACCACCTTCATTTTTACTTCTAGAAACCACCTCCCACTTCACTAAATGGTCATTTTTGTGTCTCCTGATTCCCAAAGGAAATCTCTCATAATCTTCTCTAACTAGTTTGCCACTTTCATCGGTATCCTAAAGGTAGATAGGAAATACACGGGTAAGTTTGCCAATGTTGACTTTATTAAGGTCATCCTACCTCCCAAAGAAATGTAGTTTCTCTTCCAATCCACAAATCTTTTTGTAAATCTCTCAACCACTAGATACTAAAAGCTATCTGTATTTGGATTTCCTCCCAAAGGTAGTCCCAAATATTATAATGGCCAATCTCCTACTTCACACCCCAATAACCCAGCTAGCAGCTTCACCTCTTTACTCTTTAAATTTACTCCCACCATGCAGCTCTTGCCCCAATTAATTTTAAGGTTGTAGATCCTGTCAAAATTATGTATTATCCTTTTTAGGTTCATATGTTCTTCTATTCTTCGTTCACAAAAACAAGATAATATCATCTACAAATTATAGATGTGTAACCACCACTCCCTCCCTTCCAACTCTCCAGCCTCTAATCATATTGTTTGCATCTGACCTTATGGTCAATTTACTCAGCACATCGGCTACTAGAGTAAATAGGAAGGAGGATAGAGGATCTCCTTGTCAAAGGCCCCTTTTGGTAGGAAAGAGATCTCTTGCCACTCCATTTACCAAAATTGAGAAATGACATGAAGAAATGCAGCCAATCACCCATCTACACCATCTTGCTCCGAATCCCCTACGATTAAGAATGTCCATCAGAAACTCCCAATCACCATGTCATAAGCCTTTTCTAAATCCAACTTAAAAACAGTCCTTTTTGTTTCTCCCTCAAAGCAGAACAATTAGTAACAAAACAAAGAAATTATACTAAAAGAAAATGAAGAAAGAAAGAACAAAGTTAATTTTGATGTTATTTTTGAATAATTTCTAAAATTTTTAATGCCTAAAACTGGACACTTCAAAGGTATGCTTGATTTCCATTGTTTTTAAAATTCTACATGAAAATGAAAAAAAAAATGTCTAAAAAATTAGTATTTAGAAATTAGAACAATGAAGCAAGAAACTAAAACAAGATAAGGAAAATGTTTTGTGATGTACAATCTACATACCAAGTCTAGATACTCCACCTTCTTTTGAATAATGTTAATAGGTTTCTTCATAACATTTAAACACATCTCTCCACCATGGAATGAAATCCCAAGAAAGAAAAGCTTATAGCTTTCTTCATAACATATACACAAGTATCCCAAATATCCATCTTAAGCCCATGGATGAATAAAATTTCATTGATGAAGGTAGTGGAACTCATTGAAAACTGACTGAAAAAAACCCAAAAGACTCCTCAATTAAAGGACTAAAAATTATGCTTACAAGAAAAGCAATATAGCATTACGTCATCCAGTTCTCTACATACACGGATAATCTACAAATATTAATTGTGGTTGCAAGATAAGCTAAACCATTAGCATCCCTTAGGCCGTCTTTGATTTGACAGAAAATAAGAGAGATAATCTACAGAATTCCTTAAGAACTTCCCATAATTTTCTGTTTCTCTCTTATATTCCTTAAAACTTATCTTGACTTTCCGTTTCTCTCTTATTTTCTACCAAACTAAACAAAGCCTTGAGTTATAATGAAAGCCAAGTCCTTGTCTTTAATCAATTCCTTAACATAATCTACATACCTTACAAGTTGAAGAAGCAAGATGGACTAGAGGCAGACCAAAAAGGACATTAATTGAAGTAGTAAAAAAATAATTTAATCGCTCATGATTTAACAATGGATGACACTCAACAGAATGGAATGGAAAAACAGGATTCATGTAGCCAATCCTTAGAGGATGATGATCTACATACCTTACAAGTCTATGGAAACATAGTTCAGTGTGTTATGCCTTTGACCTCAAGAAAGATTTCAAAGACTTAAAAAGGGAACTTTTGGTCTTTTTAAACTATGATTTGCAAACAGGCTGGAAAAGATATGCTTTTCAACTTCAAACAAGACTAATTCACTAAGGATGTTTTTGCCTTGTTATTCCTAAAACATTCAATCAATACAACCCAAACCTTGCAGTTTTGATGTGTGTGCATGTGCCTTCTTCAATCTCTTTTGAATCCAAGATGATATTTTATGCCTCACAAATGGGAAACCTGTCTGATCTCAAGTATGCGGCACGATGATGAAGACAAAGCTAATCTAACCAGTCCATACAAGTGAAAAAAAGAATGCCAGCAATCAAAGATACATTTACTACAGTCAACTAAAGTCCAGCTGTCCTATCAAACCAAATTACATGGAAAAATAACACCAAAGAATTTGAAAAAGTAGATCAAGAAATAGAGAATTGGAAATAGAGAATTGGAAATACACAGAATCAAATAACAAGTTCATTGACCTAAACTATAAAGTTGAAGAAGAGCAAAACTGCTGAACTATATGACACTAAAATCAGGACTCGATGCAAATCCAGTTGCATTAACTGCAAGTAATTATTGATTGCTCAAGTCCCAAAATATTCTACAAGTGAAGGAATCATTTGCCTCCATGCCAAGGTTTATTATTGGCCGGGAAAGAAGCAAACATTCTCATTCAATGATAGACTGGATGACACCCGCACCAACAGTTTTCCCTCCTTCTCTGATGGCAAACCGCATACCTTGCTCGCAAGCCACCGGCATAATAAGCTCCACAACCATCTTAACACGGTCCCCCGGCATAACCATTTTGGATTCCTCATCCTTATCATTCATGATCTGTGCGACCTTCCCAGTAACATCGGTAGTCCTCATGTAGAACTGAGGTTTGTAACCAGCAAAGAAGGGAGAGTGTCTGCCACCTTCATCCTTCTTGAGTACATAAACAATGGCAACAAACTTGGTGTGTGGAGTAATGGTGCCAGGCTTGGCAAGGACCATTCCTCTCTGGATATCAGTCTTCTGAATACCTCGAAGAAGAAGACCGACATTCTCCCCAGCATAGGCTTCGTCAAGGATCTTCTGGAACATTTCTACACTGGTAACAGTCGTGTTTCTCGTCTCCTTGAGGCCAACAAGGTCGACAGTGTCACCAATCTTAATCGATCCTCTCTCAATACGCCCAGTAGCGACAGTTCCACGGCCGGTGATAGAGAAGACATCTTCAACAGCAAGGAGGAATGGAAGATCGGTCTGCCGTTGCGGGATAGGAATGTAGTTGTCGACAGAATCCATGAGTTCATAGATTTTATCAACCCACTGATTCTCCCCTCTCTTGATGCTGGGGTTCGCCATTAGGGCTTCCAGGGCTAGTAGCGCCGAGCCGGAGATAATCGGAATGTCGTCCCCGGGGAATTCGTAAGATGATAAGAGCTCACGTACTTCCAATTCAACGAGCTGCAGAAGCTCCTCGTCGTCGACCTGGTCCTGCTTGTTAAGAAACACAACCATGTTGGGGACACCGACTTGCTTAGCGAGCAAGATGTGCTCCTTGGTCTGAGGCATCGGACCATCGGCACCGGAGACAACAAGGATGGCGCCATCCATCTGAGCAGCACCAGTAATCATGTTCTTGACATAATCGGCGTGACCAGGGCAGTCGACGTGGGCGTAGTGGCGCTTCTCAGTCTCGTACTCGACGTGAGCAGTGTTAATGGTGATACCTCTGGCTCTCTCTTCCGGAGCAGCGTCAATTTCATCGTATTTCTTGGGAGCACTGTTGCCAACGGCGGCCAAGGCCATCGTTAGGGCAGCAGTGAGAGTGGTCTTGCCGTGGTCGACATGGCCGATTGTACCGATATTAACGTGAGGCTTCTTCCGTTCGAACTTCCCTCTAGCAGCTCTGACCGTCAGGGAGCGGTGACTCCGCCGCGTAGTCTCAGCTGATGTGGTGGTGGTGGCGGTAGCGGACCACCAGAAGATGCTGGAGGGGTTAGTGAAGGAGGAGGAGAGGAGAGGAGCTGCTTTAGAGGCGAGGGCTCGCTTGGTACGGGAAGCGCCATTGGAGACTGAGAGACTGGAAGTAGCAGAAGGAGAAGAGATCGAGGAGGAAGAGGATGTCAAGGGGAGCTTTGTTGAAGTTGCTGCAGTGGCCGTTGCGGTGGCTGTGGCCGTAATTGCCATGGATGCAAGTTTTTCTTCCGCTCTTCTCTACTTCTGATTCAGAGAGAGAGAGAGAGATGAGGGAAAGAGAGAAGATAAAAGGCGGATAAAAAGAGAGCTCAGGGCCTCATATCCGTCGGCCTATCCTCTCGGCATTCTGCAGAAGAAATTTGGAATTTTTTAATTTATGTACAGTGTGAAATTGCCCACGGAGTTTTTGTGGGTTCACATATATGGGCCGTCCAATAAGAGGCCCCATATTGTGAAAAGTGAATCCCATCTTTTATTGCTATTGATATTGATTTATGTACAGATCAGACGTTGGAGAAATAAGATTGCTGATGAGGAGACAGGAGAGTAGGCGTGTCGTTGACAGAGATCCAAGTGATGACTCGCCGATCGGCCACGTCTACGTTTCAGGCAATCACACGTTTTGAAGCTTAGGTGGAATTGAGTCCACCATAGACCATAATATTGGGAGAAATGTTGGTGCCACTCGTGTTCTACGTTGCCCATGGAAGATTCGCTTTGGGTGGATGTAAGAGATTGTGTGGAAGCATTCAAATGGAATCTTTCGTGTGGTGATTTCAAAATTCTCTAGTGGCGACAAAGTTTTCGTTTATTGTTCACGAAAAGGTTTTGATGCTGGCCCACATTATCCGTGAAGCGGTTTTTTTAACTTATATTAAGAAACACAAACATAAGAGTTCAACCAGTTGGGAATATTTTCCTAGGCTCATTTTGGAAAACATGTACAGTGTAAATACATAAAAAATAAAACAAAATATAAGGTTTTGCACTATATATATATATATATATATTTGCATTTGTACTCCTTCCAAACTAAGACTTAGTAGCAAAACACTATAGTTCTTTTGGCCTCTTAGGCCACTTGATGGGCGGCCATAGTAAGTTCCCTGCTCCTGATATTTATAGATAACAAATTTGAACATAAGTTATTAATGTTTTCTAAGAGGGGAGTGAAGGAGTATCAAAAAATTCTAGTTTTCCTTTCAGAGCTTCCACTAGAGATTTTGCATCAATATGGATGTCAAGGTAGGGCCACCCGAATTTCTGAGCAAAAAGAAGACTTTCCTGGACTGCCACGCATCTACAAACAGCATCGAGTTTGTTACCAATAACACATAATAACTTAGTATTATTATCCAAGATAACCAAAACGTAAGACCCCTGATTCAGTTGAGTGAAACCTCCATCACATATTATTGTTATTTTATCCTCTGATTGGATATTAGCAATTTGATCCTGGAGGATTCCATAGGAGAAACAAATGTCTTAGTTAATTTGATTTTCAGAATTGACATACACTTGCAAAAATATTTGGACTTGTCTAGAGACCCAAGAAGCATCATTTTCAACATTCTAAAAAAAAATCATTTTATTTTTTAGCTGCCAAATGAAATGACAGCTATATATGGCTAACCATATCAAGACTTGCTTAAGGATAGCTTTGTTATTGAATTTATGTGCCAGGAAAGACGGAACTTCTGAGAATGATGAAAGGGAATGGGGGATACCTATTGACCAAGGACTAGCAAAGAGGATAGCTTTTGCGAGGGAGCACCAAAGAAATAGGTGAAGGGAGTTCTTTATTTCTTGGTCACATAAGGTACAGGTGGCATTACTCAGGAGACCTCTACTCAAAAGGTCTGATTTACAAAGGACAAATTCCCTAATGAGTCTCCACAAGAACAATTTTATTTTTGGTGGGCATTTAAGTTTCCAAGAAAACTTTTTATCCATTTTATACTTTAGCCTTTGAGGTTGAGATTCAGATTATCCCAGGATGAGGTGTAGATTAGCTTTGTTGAAAACTCTCCACTCTTTAAGCCTTTCCAAAGAAATTTATCAAATTGATCAGTTGATATAGGGGTACTAAGGATGAGATCTTTGAATTCAGGAATTGTGGATTGAATCATATTCTAGTTCCATGTTGGTTGGAGGTTCTTGATGAATTATGTCATCTATGCTCATTTTGTTGTCTTTTCTTGGGGGGGATCTTGAGGAGCAATGAATTCTTTGGTTGATTGGATCCAGGAAAAATGCCTTGGAATTTTTTGATGGTTTGAGATCAATTTTTCTGGTGGATTTGAATGCACGGTTCCACTTGAATTTTCCAAACTCTTGAAGTTGAAGGAGGGGCTGTCCTGGGAAAAGATTGCTTCCCTCTAAGGTATTTACCAAAAAAACTTTAACCCAAAGTGTATATGGTTCTACAATGAATCTCCATGCTAATTTAGCCAGGAGGGATTTGTTTCTAAAAGCTAAGTGTCCTAAACCCAGACCAACCCCATCTTTTGAAGCACATAAGTTGTTCTAGGCCGCCCATTTTAGATGTTTTCCTCCTCCCATATCATTCCACCAGAATTGCTTCTGAATCTTTTCCATTTACTTTATACTTGATTGAGGCAATTTTTCAATACTCATGCAATAATGGGGACTGAATGAAGGGAGGACTGTATGAGGATTTGCTTGCCAGCATAGGAAAAGCTGCTTGTCAACATAGGAAAGGCTGCTTGCCTTCCACTTACTAAGTCGAGATTTAAACTTTTCAAGAAGAAAGCCATAGGAGTGGCTTCTTTTTCTCTTCCAAAAGAGAGGGGTTCTGAGGAACTTGCTTTCAGGGTTTAGGGAAGGAATTTTCAATTGTCTTTGAATCATCCTAGCACCCTTATTTGGGGTGTTTTTGCTAAAGAAGACTCCAGACTTTTGGAGATTAACCTTAAGGAGTTGAAAGCTTTCTAGGAGGTCCTTAAAGTCCATGGCCTCTTCTCTATTAGCATTTCCTAGAAGAAGGACATCATTTGCAAAGATCAGGTGTGAGATTGGGGGGGGGGGAGTCCCTTCCTACCTTAATTGCCAAGAGTTTGCCTTCATTGCTTGCCTGAAGGATGAGCCTTGAGAGGCCTTCCATAGCAATGACAAATAAGTAAGGAGATAACAGATCTCCTTGTCCTATTCCTCTAGAAATAGAAATGTTACCTTCAGAACCATTTATGAGGAATAGAAAATTGGGCAGTTGAAATATAGGCTTTTATCATTGAACACCAGTCCTTAGAAAATCCTAAAGTAAAAAAGGATCCAAGTATGTAATCCCATTTAAGGAATCGAAGGCTTTGGAGATACCCAACTTTAAGGCCATGCAACCTTATCTAACCTTCCTAGTCTTGAGATGGTGGAAGATCTTGAGCTAGGACAAGGTTGTCTTGGATCATTCTACCCTTAACAAAGGCCACTTGATATGGGGAAATACATTTTTTTATGAGAGGTTTCATTCTATTGGCCAACAGTTTTGATATGATTTTGTAGGTGACATCGTATAAACTAATTGGCCTATAGTGATTGACCTCGGTTGGATTTTTTGACTTGGGAATGAAAGTGTAAAGGTATGTGATGAGGGCAGATTTGGCCCTCCAATGAAATTGTGACACGTGGCACCTCGTGACAACTAGGCAAGCACCCAGGCAACAACTTACCAAGTTGGTGTCCC